ACCTTCCCGTCCTTGGCTCTACCCCCCACCCCCTCAAGAATTCTTTGTACTAAGTACGAGGGATTAAACTGAAAACATGTTACCGTGATTTTCAAATGTCACTGTGTCGAATCTCTGTTGTTTAGTTGATCTAATATTAGCCCTGTAATATTAACGTTTCGAGTTTATTTTGTGTTTAATTGTGGAATTGCACTTTACACATTGACTGCTGTTTTCCACCGTTAGGCTAAGTTAGGTAGTGGTTAAGGTCTTTGTTTTTTTAACTCAAAAGACGGAGCTTGGATTCCCCAGCAGGGGAAGCCTGTTCTATTGAGTATTTCAATCTGGCTTGTTTGATTCTATATTCACCAAGGGTTGATTTCAGGATACAAAAATAATCCAGGAAGGATGAGAAAATTTCGCAACCCCAGATCTACACATTAATATTAAAAAGTTGAAGCGCTCATTGATAATTTATAATCAGCCATCCTCGCTGATATGGCAAGTTCACACTTATTCATAGTAAAACTATTAAGAGCTTAGTCTGTTAAAAATTAGGAGACCATTTCCCAAGATGACAAGCAGTGTTGCAACATGTTAGGCAGCGGATGCCACTATACTTCAAGTTGACAAAACATACTTCGTAACATATGAGAGGCATATAACAGGCATTACAACTTCTTCTTGATTTTCCCCTCAGGTCTTTGTTGCGGTCAGCAAGAGATGACCACAGATCACATGCTTGCGACACCTCTTCCTGAATCCAGAGCTCACTGCCGACTGCTTTACGACGTAATGTTCGTGTTTTTAGCACTTCGTGCTTCATCATTGTTACCATGAGCTGTCACTACACCAAACATAATTCACATTTTTTGCGCGACCTTTCTGTTCCCCGCCATTGTCCATTCTTCCTTTCAAGTCTTTTTTTTACTTTGTGCCCATTAATCCCTATTTTCTTGGATTTTTTTCCTGCTGCTTTATGTCTTTTTCTCTTTTCCAGTTCTTTCTTCTCTCTATCCAGATTAATATCTGTACTATTTCTAGGTAAATATGTACCTACGTGTGTATGTACAAACGTATACATGTAGTTACACTATATTATAAGCTGGTAGTTAGGCACGTAGGTAGGTAAGTAGATAGATAGGAAGATTGGTAGGAAAGTAGGTTTATCTATCTGTCAATCTATCAATCTATCTATCTATCTATCTATCTATCTATCTATCTATCTATCTATCTATCTATCTATCTATCTATCTATCTATCTGTCTATCTATATGTCTGTCTGCCTATTTGTCCGTCTGTCTGTCTATCTGTCTGTCTGTCTGTCTGTCTGTCTGTCTGTCTGTCTGTCTGTCTGTCTGTCTGTCTGTCTGTCTGTCTGTCTGTCTGTCTGTCTGTCTGTCTGTCTGTTTGTGTGTCTATCTGTCTAACTTTTTATCCATTTTTGAAACTTTGGTTTTCTCTATACATTTCCCCTCATTTTCTCTAATTTGGTCTTTCTTTCTTCTACTCATTTCACTTTTTCTTTTTTCTTCTTTTATTTAACTTTCCCTCTATCTCGTTCCAAACTGATTGAAGTAAAGTCTGATTTCAAATGTCTTTAAATTTACTATATACGCACCTCTACATAAAAGGAAAAAGCAATTGAGTTCATTTTCCTTTGAGCCTATCCCAAAAACGATGTGTTGGAGCTGGCATATTATTTATTGTAGTCTCCACAGGTCGAATGTCCCTTTTAGACTCTGTAACGTTATTTATGAGGCAGTACCTCAGAACGTAACGTCTATTTTGGATGAGACATGATAATGTGAGAGGCAAATCCTTGGAAACTTCTTAGAACAGACCGAAATTCAGGAATATCTCGTTGGGGAGTTGGAGATAGACTCACAGCCTTGCAGTCCAGCATGACACTGCATTGGCTACCGGTGCGCCCATTTTGTATTGCACATTGCGCAAAACCATTCTCAAGCTGAACCTCTGCATAGATGCCACCATGACAGCAGGAGAGAAAAGATACCAACACGGGTCTAGTTTACCTCCTTCACGGGGAACCCTACAGGCCTCACACAGCACAAAAAGCGGCATCTCACCCCCTCGATGCCATTTCATCACTACCTCCCTAGACTTACCGAGGTCTCTAGACACAGAGTCGCGCAGTGACCCCTTGAGCACCCTAGATCTTTAATGTCTTCTCCTCCCTGATCCACATAGCGGCGAAGAGGCCTGATCTAGTTTCAAGTCTTTAAATTCGGAGGACGGGGCTGAGATATCAAGGAGCAGCCCTTAAATGCAGAATGACATCCGAGAAATTGTGTAGCATTACATGCAGGGGATTGAACTTCTAATCCTTTTAACTAGAACAACTGTGTGCAAACTTTATGGTGTCTTCAAACGTACATAAAGTCAAAGCTTTCGGCTTAAATGGGATCCTTATTGTGTTACATTCGATGTAAAATGTAATCCAGGTACTGAGGAAAAAACTTATCATGCACGTGTAAAACGCACCTTGTTTATTGGCCTTGTTCACTGGGGGCTTTTGCACGATGTTTTGTTGAAGACGATATGCATGAAGGTGGCATAAAACTCAATACTTAAATGGTCATCCGCAACATTGCTGCCTATGATCCTTCGCAACCTGCTTGAGGCATTTATTTCAGTAAATTCTTGATACTGTTGCAACGTATCTTGACACAGAGCGTTAAAAAAAACCGGATCAGCGTCGTGTTAAGTTGCACGTTTTTGAGTCTGCTCTCCTCCAGTGTACATCGCTGTTTCTTTTGCTGTGTCATTGCTCTTTGAGAGATGAGAAGGGATTTGCCCACCGCTGTACGTTATAGCTTACGTATCCAGAGTCTCCAAGCAAAGAGATTGTGAAGAATGCGGATAAAACACGTCTTCTGGTAAATGGTTCTTCGTTACTTTGTAACGTCAATCTCTTATCATGCTTCTTCGAGTTCTTCAGAGGGCTCACTACAATAATGGTATCGGCAAAGTTCATTAACCACTAATTATTAATTCACTTTCTGCCATGGTGGTGTTTTCACATTCGAATGTCATATTCTACTCTACGACTGTGTTTCTAAACCCTTCCATGACAGGGTTATTATTAAAAGTAAAGATTAAAAAGCTAACAACAGATGTATAGACAGACGAATAAATGACAATACAGAGAGAAGAAATTATTAAGATGAAATGAGTAACAGCCAGAAAAAATGGTCTTACAAGGCGGTGGTAAAACATCGATACAAAAAAAAATCATTTAACACGAGGGGCTACGCAAGGTGGGGTACAGATACCAGACAGGTAAACAAGATGTACGGGCAACCATGCGAGTGCGAAACTGTGAGAACTTTGATAATATAGCCGAAAAATGAAACGTAGACAGGGATGGGAATAGGGGAGAATTAACGGGATAAAAGACCGTAAAAGGCAAGCAGGGGGAAATCGCCGATGTGATAGGAGTTTCTTATAAGTCCCGACAAAGATATAACAATTAATTCCACATGTTATTGCTTTCGTCTATTAAATTAACAGCTGTCAGTTTGAAATGTCCATTGTATACTCCAATACCTTTTTGTGCATCTCAGGACATTCGCCGGCAGGGAGCCTTCCTATCTTCCCAATGTTATCCAACACCAGTAATAAACGCAGATTACGCCAACGTTACGGTGTGCACTTAGTTGTCTTTTTAAAAAATGCTTTAAAGGTGTATACGGTTTAACCAGTGGCATAAAATGCCACAGGGTGCCAGAATTATATCCTTATTTAGTATATGACACTCGTGTTATAGCTTCTATTAAGATTCCTGACAAACATCGTGATCCCCAGAACATCTCGAAGCATATGTCAACTGACTCTTTTCACCCTTTCCAAGACGGAAACACACATAAAATTATGTATATATGATACATGAAGATATCTCCCTTCTCATAAAAGAGAACAGGTTGCTTCAAACATTTTTGCTCCATAAATGTCTGTTTACAAATGTCGCTGAACCCCGTTGATCTCTTTGTTTGCAGTTTTTTGCTGTGGAGGGGTAGTGTGCCTGTTATGAGGACAGCTTCTGACAGCCACGTTAGCTGATATTGCTTCGTTTCCAATGCACCCGCTGTTACGAGGCACAATATACGAAAGACAACTGTAGTCTAATTTTCGCACGCATCTTTATTCACTATTGCCAGGGCTGACCTAAATTCTATGATAGAGTAGCCAGCTACGAATACTTCGCTACACGCTTTTGTATTTTTTAATTGTCTTGATTTTTGTGAAAGTCTTTAAATCCTTAATTGTGGCTAATATAGTGGTAATAGTATAATATTGTAGTGTTCTGGGTATACAAGTATGTTTAACCCCTATCTCTTTCAAGGAAGAAAACCGATAGATGATGGTTTGTCATTGCCTGTGAATCAAATCTTGCAACTTGCAAGTCTGGTGGCATGTGTGTAGAACGTACCAAATTTCCGCTATTAGCTCATGTTATGTATCATGCTATAGCCAGGCCTTCTTAAAAGGAACGTTAACGTGTACGCCAGCCTGTTACCTAATCGGAATACCGAAAGCTCAGTTCGTATCATACTAACATTTCAGTTTGCCGAACCTGGTTCGAAACTTCAACAGAGTACATGTATTCTTAAATGTAGGTTGTTTTGAGAAGTTTTTAGTCTCCTTGCCCATTTGGTCCTATCGGGATTGGAGGGTAATTGTAAAGACTTCATCAGTCTCCAAAAATGGTCTTTTAAAATCTTTCTGTATTAAGCCGTTCTTAGTCTTAACAGAGTCACATTTGGGGAACATTTTAGAAGACACGTTCTCTCGTTGGCCTATTAGGAACATTTTTTGTACTGTGTAGGAGACAAACATTAGTCACTTAGGACCTTTACTTAATTACTTAACACATGTGCCAACATTTGAGGTTCAAATCCAAGTGAGAGCCTAAATGCTCTCTCCACTCTTTCAATAACATTTTAAATGTATGCTGTTTTCACGGAAGTCTTTTTATGTAAAAAGTGAATTTTTTAATGTGATGTGGGCCAGTGGCCTTGAACATCTACCTTTCTAGTTACTCTGTTTTCTCAGTTCAAGTCGGAGCAAATGGGTACTTTGCACTCGGCAGATACGGTATAGGTAACGTCTTATATCTTTTGGTCATCGCCAAGCACTGACGGACGAGTTATTGTTATTATTATTATTTTTATTATTATTATATTATTATTATTATTATTATTATTATTATTATTATTATTATTATTATTATTATTATTATTACTTGAAATTTATATACATTGTACATACATTTTTTTTTCATTTTTTGGGGGGCAGGTGGGCAGGTGAAACAGCAGAGATGATATACACCAGGACAATTCCAGATGTGCCTGTCAAAGTTTTCACACCATCTCTCTCACAGGTCAGAGTCGCATCTGTTCTTCTAATTATTCTCTTTCACTTTAACTTCACTGCATAATCTAATAATTTCTCAAACAGACGAGCCTTGAGCAAGCTTGCCCCCACTTTCGAAAGAAAATAACGTAATTGTGGGGAAAGGAGACCGTCAAGCGATGGACTTTGCTGGCTCAGCCAGCGGATCGGGGCAGGTGTGGGATGGATTAATTAAGAGATGTACTTAATGCGATTACTCTATGGCCTCCTAATCCATCACCGGCCATTTGCCGGCGCCTTTAGCCTTTGGCGACCTGGGTGGGAGGGAAAATGTAAGGAAAAGTGGGAAGAGAGAAGCTGAAGGAGTGGGGAGGCGGAGCTGTTGTGCTTACTCTTTTTCAACCACACGCACATACGTATACACGCACAGACGCACACATGCACACACGAACGCGTGCAAACACGCACATACACACACGCGAAACTAAAACACACGCGCGCGCGCGCACACTCACACACACACACACACACACACACACACACACACACACACACACACACATGCGCGCGCGTGCGCACTGGAGCTAGGGGAACAAGAGAGGAGATACAACTGACAACTCCCGGCACCCACAACCCCCCCCCCCCCCCAACGTTCTTCTTTTTTTTCTACCGAAAGATCCGAAAGAGGAATGAAAGAAGTTGAAAGGGAAAAACAATATTTTTAAAAACTGAGAACTGCAAACACAAAGAGTGAAGTGTTTGCGTTTGTGTAGGTGAGTATGGTGACGAAATATATCCAGGGGGGAGGGCGTAATTTGGGTGATTAAGTGTATAAATTCCTAAATATACCACTTTTGAAAGTGTGTTTGTGGAGCTTGTCAACTAACTGTCCAGTTTTTGCAATCATTTACAATACACAATTAAATGAGTACTTGCAAATATAAATTATTAATGTGAAAAGGAATTTAAAAAGGTTGAAATAAAACTATAAATTCCAGAATGTAATAGACAGCTACATGTACAATGGATAGGTCAGAAAGGGACACACAAGGAGACCATGGGGGGGGGGGGGGAGCGGAGGAGGTGGGGAAGATAGGCAAAAATAAGTAGAAGCACCTATCTCTCTCACCCCCCCCCCTCCTCTCCCACCCCTCCCTAATCAACCATTTACAAATCTACTCCCCTATCCCACGCACCTATCCAAAAAATATGTCTCTCGGCCCTCACCGGACCGCCCCTTTTCCGTTCGAACTGCCCACTCACAAATCCCACTTCTGCCCCGTCCTGGAAAAAAAAGCGCTGTGTCCCCTACCCTCCTCTTTTCACGACCAAAAAACACAACCATACCCTCCCTTCCATATATTATGTATATTTTACCCTACCCCACCCCCACCCCCACCTCCAACCTTGACTTAAGAAATCTATTCCTCCTTCCTTTCGTTCCCACCTCTTTCCCCCTCCACTTCTTCCATATCTCACCCACCCCCCTTCCATGCCCTTTTGCCCTTCCACAACTAAAAAAAAAATCCTTTTTCAGAAGGCGCCAAGCCTTGTCCCAAACGCCGTATCCGTCTTCGCGCGACTGCGGTCTACCGTCTCTTAACGAAAACCCTCTTTCCAGGGTACTGGCAGAGAGGGTGCCTACACCACCTCTTATACTGCAGCATAAAATATGATGTCATGGCCAAGTTAGGCTTGTCAAAACAGTTTTTAAATTTCTGCACAGCAAAGAGCTTTTAGTCTGTTCGCATTTTGAAAAAAAAAATCATCAACTCATTAAAAGCAAAACAATATAAAGGAACATGGTGAGTGCGGTGTCGATAGAGAAAACTTTCAAATTCCAGTGTTGTTTGGTGACTTTTATTACGTGCATAAAAACAAACCAACAACGAACAAAAGAGACACATAATAGTATGCCATTAAAACTCGTTCTGTGACCGGACATTTTGTTCCAATAGTCAACGATATTAAAGATGGTTGTATTCTTTAGGCACAGGGCTTGAACAGAGGATGCTATATGTTTTTTTCTTTAAATAATTTAGTTTTGTGGCAGGTTTATTCGGTGAAGACCGACTACAACGTTTCCAGTGAACGAGAACTGATGTGCATCTTATCTAAACTTACCGTGTTTTATGCTACTTTGTCTCTTTTTTTTCTAAGAGCCTCCCTTAAACCATACAATACTAGCGACCATTAACCGGAAGTTCAAAATATTCGTTTTGAAATTTAATGATGCCCTACGCATCCTTTCGTATCGCTAAAAAACAGTTTTTGTTTAAGTTCCGCTGTTTTGTAATAAATAAAAATTAGAAAAAACATGACCACTATTACAAAGATAAAAAAGAGTTCACATTTCGCTTGCTCGCTAGTAGATCTACATATTATATCCACCTCTCAAAGTGGCGTCGGTAGTCTTGTGGTTAGGCTACCAGACTCGTAATCGGTTGCGGGTTCGGCGGTTCGAGCCTCCCATTTGGCTGTCTTTTTGGAGATGAACGTTAAACTCGTAGGTCCCGCCTCTTAAACAACTTAATACTGTTGAGAGGGGCGTTTAACCCTATCTGTACGTAGTATTTTACTATCGTATCCAAATAACGTTGGGAACTCTGTGCCACCACTTTCCAAATAGGAAATTACTCGTCAATCCAGTCCGCACGCTTTGCATAGCAGTCTGGCAAAATGATTTTTTGAGAAATACTGAAAGTTTCAAAGAGATCTTCGTACCAGAATTATTCTAAAATGTGAAGAATACAACCCGTGGGGTACAAAATGACCCCAGAGCGTAAGGATAGGGTTAACCCTAACCATTTCACCACCGCTCAATGAGTACCCTGTAAAGAGTGTTTTGGGCGGCTGTCACGAGCAACAAGGCGACAAGGCGAGTTACATTCTTGGAACATGTCACACGTCCGCGGAGACGCGCGACTCGCTGCCTCACGGGGGACAGGACGGGCCGAAATGGCGCGGGGATGGAAAGGAGATGAGATAAG